GGGGGGGGGGTAGTGGGTTCTCTCAGAAGCGTCCTGGCCCCTGCTGGGTGGGTTGTGGCTCACTCATGACCCCTGATGCTTAGACGGTCATAACCAAGAGCCCCTTCCGAGGGAGGAGTGAGCGGCTTTCCCACTTCCGTTTACAAGTTGCCCACACACCTCTGGGATTTCATGGAGTTCCTTTCAAGACTCCAGGACCTGTCAGGAATGGTTTTCGTAAGGGAATGAAATGGTGGTGTTCCCTCCAGACCACTGTTACCCAGATCCTGTGGTTGTGGCAGCGACCGCTGTAAAATAGGACTGGGGAAATAGAAACGCCCCTCACTATGACTGACAGAAGCACATACTTGGAGGCAGGAAAGGGGAGAGAGAGAGAGACAGACACTGTGTGTGTGAGAGACAGACAGACAGTCAGAAGCAATGACCTAATAAAAAGCAAGAACCGTTATCTCCTGGAGGAATACTCTCCATGGGCAGAAAGCCCCCAGGCAGCGCTGGCCTTCTGAGAGGCAAGAGGGCAAGCAGGGGTCACGAGCCCCCTGGGAGATGAGGCCACAGCCACAGCAGGCCTGTCCACGGTGGAACCCACTGTCTTCAGCAGCCACAAGGACACAGCAGAGTCATAAGATCAGACCAGCCAATGGTAAAAGTAGCTTATTCTTCTACCCCAAAGAAGAGGAGGAAAAGATGGAGCTGCCCAAGCAGGGGTCATTTCTTCCCTATTCTTCCCAATGGTTTAGAGATACACTCAGATGATCCAGGGCCTTGGGGCCTTCATTTCCGCCCCGTCCTGCAAGGTAAACGTGCCCGTGTGAGCACATGGCATGGGTCCTGGAGTCAGTAGATTTTAGATCGATGGGGAGTGTCACGTATGATTCATGACAGCTCTCCCTGCTCTACACTGAAAAAATTTGCACCAATTTTATATAACCTATTAGAACAGAGGCCTGTTCTGGGCAGAAGTGAAACCCACACACACAGCAATTTGAGGAGGATGAAGGGTCCCCTCCCTCGCACTCATGCACCAAGGTGCCCGAGATGTGCACAATCTGAGTGGTCCACACAGCATACCCACTATGTACCAGGCATGAGGGCAGGCAAAGAATGTAGAACAAGCCTCTGCTTTCAAGGGGTTTTCAATCTTTCCTTTAAAAATGCATAAATGGGGACACCTGGGCAGCTCAGTCGGTTAAGCATCCGAGTCTTGATTTCAGCTCAGGTCATGATCTCATGGTTCATGAGATCGAGCCCCAGGTCGGGTTCAGGACTGACAGCATGGAGTCTGCTTGGGATTCTCTCTCTCCCTCTCTCTCTTCCCCACCCCTGCTTGCGCTTGTGCCCTCTTTCTCAAAATAAATAAAGACTAAAAATGCATATATGTTATCCAGTAAAAGTAACCTGTGACCCATAAGCAGCCATCATCACATTTCAAGAACCATTGGAGAACTGTGGCTTCCTTCCAGAGTTCTAAGATCAAAGGGCAAAGACCAGGTAAGTTCTGACACAGGAGAAAAAAGGAGGAAGACTTTCGGAGTTTATGAACCCACTAAAATAAATCTCAGCATCTAGCTTGTGGAAAAGCAAATGAATGTTCCTTGGGGGAAACTGAGGCCCACCAAAGGAAGGTGAGATCTTCTCCCTGTCAAGAGGCTATCCTTCCCCATATAGTCCAGGTCTCAGCCATCACACTGAAAAACTATAAAACAATGTCCCATAATATAAATAAGTGTAAATGGCAGCATTTGAATGGTGACAGCCTAGCATTCTCTCCACCCTCTGCACTCCCTCTCTTCTGAGCCCACCCACACACCCCCCACCACCTCAGGCTACTGCTCAGTGAAGGCCTCTGATGGCTTATTATGTTCAGGGCCTGTAGTGGTCCTACCCGCACCTTCCTCCCTAACATGACTTCCCACTTCTCAGTCCTCTGAGCCCTGTGCTCTGGCCCAGATCCACTCGGTATCCCTGCCTCGCCCTCTGGCTCCTCCTCATCTGACCACAGGAGTCCTCCTCCCTGCCCCTCCTGGCAAACCCCTACCCATCTTCATGGCCCAGCTCCAGGGCACTCCTGCTGCCCAGTGAGACGCAGCTCACCCCCACCACCTTGGTGTGTTCCTTACTCAAGACTTTTATCTCATCCTGCTTGGCATTAAAGTCATGGTAATTCTGATTTCTACTCTTCAAGCCAGGAAATCTGACCTGATCGACATTACTTTACTTGTGGGACTCTCATGACAGAATGTTCACTGAAAGCTGGACTCTCCCAGAAATTTAGGGGTATATGGGTATAGTAAGTATAATTATTTAGGGACTTGTCTTATTCTTTCAAGAAGAGTGATGCTTGGAGCACCTGGGCGGCTCAGTGGGTTAAGCGCCCGACCTCAGCTCAGGTCACTGATCTTGCAGTCTGTGGGTTCAAGCCCCACATTGGGCTCTGCGCTGACAGCCTGGAACCTGCTTCAGATTCTGTCTCCCTCTCTCTCTGCTCCTCCCCTGCTTGTGCTGCCTCTCTCAAAAATAATAAAGCAAAAAGAGAAGAATGAGGTTTATCACAACAGCTGCCGTTGGTAGCCACACAAATGTTTGTTGACTGTTGAGTTTTATCTGGTAACAGAAGGACACACTGAGCTTCCTGATGTCCCTAAGATCAGCTCCATGAGCCTTGGTCTCCTCCTCCTCCTGGAGCCTGTGGTGCGGGCTGCCGTTACACCGCCTACAGCATGCAGCGGGTGATCGATCTCCCGACCTGGACGGGCTAACACGTGACGCAGGGGAGGGAGTCCAGACCTGGAGTCCGGAGGACCAGGGTAAGTGCCAGGCTGGCCACTGAAGAGCTGCAAGGCCTTGGGCAAGTCTCTTTACTGCAGCAGATGGACCAAGGACAAGGCCCATTGGAGTGTGACGTGCCATTTTGTGATTGTTGCTCTTCTGAAGCGCTATGACCATCTGAGCTGATCACAGTTGTGGACTAACCCCACGTGAGGGCCCAAGCCATGGGTCGCGGGGCAAGAGCCGGGGGAGGGGAGGATGCCAGCCCCCTATGCTCCAGGAGAGGGTGCAACACAGGGGACAGGGGGTGTTGGTCACCCCGAGGGCCATACCCCTGGGCTGAGAAGCATATGTGGGCAATTGACTAGAAGGGAGACCACCTGTGAACTGGATAATTATATTGGCTTTTAGGTTTATCCACCAAGCCCTTGAACGTAAATACCCAAGGAGCAACTGTCCTGTGAAGTCCAAGGCAACCAGCCTGGCAACTCTGAGGAAGAAGGGCACTTTCTGTGCAAGTGTCAAATCTGGAAACTCAGGCAGTTCAGCAGCCCCTTTAACTGGTGTCCCTGGGGACCTGAGGGCCAGCAGATCAGTCCTTATAAACTGTGGAGGGGCAGAACATGGCCAGAGATGGGGGAGGCAGAACACTAGAGCTGGCTGTCCCCAGTATGGTGACACAGTGCTTTCCCCCAGCCTCTGGCTTCGGGCTTGCACCTACCCTGCCTGAGATCTAAACCCCTCCTCCCTCTCTTCCTCAGGAAAGTATCAAGTAAATCCAGGCATACTGACCTACGAAGCACTTAGTTTCATGTCTTATCCCCAGGAAGCATTTTGGTTTGGCTTAAGTTACAGGAATAGGCTGTCAGGAGTCTGTCAGAATACCGTGAACCTTTGAGGACACCCACCTTAGCACTGGGGGGGACGGGTGGAGGCCTGCCTTACCAGACCCTGAACTCACCCTGCACACAATACGGCTGCACAGAGAACAACCAATCTAATCCTGAAAGGAGCCAAGTGCTTGGCCTTCTGGTTGAAAATAGTGCCTAATTAGCACATAAGAGGAGAAAAAGAAAGGAAGGAAGCAGGAAGACAAGAAGGGAGGGAAGGTGGGAACATCATTCCAAAGAACCAGAAGAAGGGGAGAACTCTGCAAAGGGCCTCACGCTGCATACAGTACAAGAACTGAGGAAAACACACACGCTTAATGGAATACAAGAAGACTGGTCTTTATGAAATAGGACTAAACATCTTTAAGATAGCAGTGGCCGCATTGAAAAGGCAAAAGAGGGGCGCCTGGGTGGCGCAGTCGGTTAAGCG